AAAAACACCACATGATTAGATCTTGGGTTGCCATAAGAAATTGAAAAGGCCCATGACTGTATTCCATTTGAATGCAGGTTTTATGTAGAGGGATTTATTTAAGCTTTCATGGTGTTTTTCATTATTATTGCTAACTTAGAAAGGTTTTTAAAAAATGTCTTTATTGAAATTACTGTATAATAAACTTCAAATATTTAAAGCACACAGTTCGATGTGTTTTCACACCCCCCCACAAAAACACAGACACAGCTATGAAACTATCCCCACAGTCAAGATGGTGAACCTACCCCTTACTCTCCCAAAGTTTCCTGTTGCCACTGTGTAATCCTTCCTCGCCTGCCCCGGGCGCCTCACAGGTAATCACTGGTCTGCTGGTTTGCTTTCTGTTGTTATAGATTAGTTTGCCTTTTTAAGAATTTTATATAAATGGAATCATACCGTCTTTTTATCATCTGACAATATTGATATATCCTTTTAGTTCCAGTTCGGACATCATAAGAGATCTTCTAGAAGAAGAGGAAGCCTGGGAAGCATCACATAAGTGAGTTCTCGTAATAAAAATAAGCATGTACTTTGACCTGAGAAATTTTAATTCTATACAGTTGATATTCAAACAAAAGAATATTTGTGCTTTCTGATTTAAGAAAGTAATAATTCACACACATCAAGGTAAAGATTTCCAGTTTACTACTTGTTTCTATATATTTCTGCTGAGAAATGGAATCCCAGTATAAGAACTCTGAATACTTGTCAGAAGTTGTTTTTCTAAAGACAGATTGTTCCAATAGGCGATCAGTAGTTTGGCTTTAATAAAGCCCTGGCTCCAGAGCCTTTAGAAAACGTTTACGCCTTCTCTAGATGTTCCCAGTCATGAGATGTGTTTAGAATAAATGCCGTTTTACTTCTGTACCACTATGGATCAGTCTGGAAATGAGACTTTGCAGTGGGGGTGCTGTTCTAGGTCCCACTAGTAGATGAGCAGGAAAGGAACAGTGCCAAACAATAATACATTTCCATGCATCCCCACCCGCAGGAGCGATCTGTAGTGCGGCAGGGCGAGCTTTCTCCAGTAACGTCGCTATCGCCTCTCCCGTGGGCCTTGAGAACTGCCTGGCGGCAGCTTCACTGTCTCTGGTCATTTCTGTGACATTTTCTTCACAAGGAGTTTTTGAAAGCTCAGCTCTTTTCAGTGGCTCCCCCACCAGCTGAAGACCGTGTTCTTTATAGAGAAAATAGAAGCCATGGTATAGGAATCCTCATCTTTCCAAACGTATAAACCTGCCTGCAGCTGTACTTATTAACCCTCATTTCCTCTTTTAGTAATAAAGGGATGTCCTGGCTCCTTTCTGAGGCTAATTCCTCCTCCCCATTCTCACTGTCTTGTGAGGTGCTTTGCTTTGTCCCTCCTCCCCTACAGGCAGCCTCTCTCAGCTGTGTTTTCTCATTGGGTTTCTAGCATGCTCCATGACTCTTTCCCATCGTAAGACCACCCAGCCACGCAACCAACAGACAGAAGCACCGCAGTCGGCCTCATTTCGCTCCTTCTCATTCTGTAGCTATTGTCTCTCCTTCCTTAATAGCTGACCTCCACTTGCGGTCTCCCTTTCCTTATCTCCCGCTTACTTGCTCTGCAGCACATTCTGCCGGTCCCATCATTCTCACACAGCTTTCACGCAAGCCGTGGAAGACCTCCGTGTTGCTAAATCCAGAGCACCATTTTTAGACCTTATCTTTCTTCACTTCT